CGGGGACCTATGGCGACGTCTACAAGGTGCGTCGGGCGGCGGGACGGGCGGGAGAGCAGGGAGGAGGGTGTCCGCTCCGCGCTGGCTGCGGGATCCAGCCCCCAGTCCCGCCCCCTCCCCATCCCAGTTCTCCGTCTCCTCTCTGCAGGCCCGCGACACGGTCACGTCCGAACTGGCCGCCGTGAAAATAGTCAAGCTAGACCCAGGTGAGGCCCGGGCCGGCCTCTGCCTCGGAGGGAGCAGAGGGCAGGCGGGCGCGGGAAGGGGCGGAGAGTTGACGTTTTTCAGACCCTCTGAGATGACCCCAGGAAGGACTATAGCCTGGCACCTCTCTGGCACGGAGGGGGCCACTCTGTGCCCATTTTGCAGATGGGGTACTGAGTCAAGGCGACCCCTATGTGACTGCTCCCAATGGTCCCTTGTGCTTCCCAGGGGACGACATCAGCTCTCTCCAGCAGGAAATCACCATCCTTCGCGAATGCCGCCACCCCAATGTGGTGGCCTACATTGGCAGCTACCTCAGGTGAGGTGCTCTGTCCTCCACCCCAGGCAGCTCCTGAGTGGCCTGCTGTGTGCCCACCCCAGCTCTGTTTACCCCCAGGAATGATCGCTTGTGGATCTGCATGGAGTTCTGTGGAGGGGGGTCTCTGCAGGAGATTTACCATGGTGAGGGCCCCAGAGGGTCACAGCTTTCCCCCAACCCCATCAGCGGAGGAGGGGGAGGACACAGGAGGGGAGAGTCCCTGTCCAGAGCTTGAGCGCCTCTTCACTTCTGACTAGCTGTGTGACCTTGAGAGAAATGCTGTCCTTTTCTGGGCTCAGGTGTCCCAGACTATGCAGGGAGGGGATGTGGCCATCCCTTCACCTGTCAGTGCCTGTCGCTTCCCCAGCGTGGAGTGGCCTGGGATGGCCAGAAGACCCCAAAAACCCCATGCCAACCCTTCTGTTTTCTTTTTAGCCACTGGGCCCCTGGAGGAACGGCAGATCGCGTTTGTCTGCCGAGAGGCACTGAAGGTAGCCAGCCGGCGGCACCCACAGCCTGGGGCCCCAAGAGAGCAGGCTGACCAGTAGAGGGGGGGCTGCTATGTGGAGTGCAGCAGGCAGGGCTGGCCTAGGGGCTGTGGGTCCTCAGGGCAGGGGCCCCAGGCATGTTGCCGGAAGCAGCCCATTTCCCTCTTGGCTCAGCCACTTCCTGTTTGGGGAGAGGGGAGGAGGAAACCGACTGGGTGGGGGGCCCTAGTCCTGAGAGGGGGGTTCAGGAGAGGTGGGGTGGTGCTGGGCAGCTGCTCTCAGGAGCTCCTCTTTGTCCCCAGGGGCTCCACCACTTGCATTCTCAGGGGAAGATCCACCGAGATATCAAGGTAGGGGTCTGGCCTAGGGCACTGCGGGAGAGGGGAGGAGGAGGCTGTCCCGGGGCACTAGATGGGATTCTCTGCTCCATTCCCACAGGGAGCCAACCTTCTCCTTACTCTCCAGGGAGATGTCAAGCTGGGTCAGTACCTGGGGTCACAGTTGGGGTGAGGGTCTGCGTGAGGGTCTGTGGGAATTCTGGCTGTCACAGAACCTGGACTCAGCACTCGGTGTCCTCGGCCAAGTCACTTTACCACCAAGTCTTGGCTTCCCTGTCTAAAAAATAGCCAAGTACCCCCTTCCTGCTAGAAGATGGATGAGGTTGGTCTGTATGGAGTCCGACCTGGGACCAGGCACAAGGTCTGGGATAGGCTGTAGTTGACCTTCCTCAGAAGGGGTTGACCTTGCTGTGGGCCTGTGGCAGCTGAGTCCAACCCTGGGCCACCTGCCCGCCTGAGCCCTGCCCTGGAATGGGATGGCAAGTGGCAGCCTAAGGGCTGGTGAGAGTGGCTGTTTCTCCCCGCAGCGGACTTTGGGGTATCTGGGGAGCTGACGGCGTCTGTGGCCAAGAGGAGGTCTTTCATTGGGACTCCGTACTGGTGAGGCTACGCCTCGGGTAGAGGGGTCAGGGGCCACAGGTGGGGCACCCAGCCATCCCATATGTGACCTCGCCTCTAGGATGGCTCCGGAAGTGGCTGCAGTGGAGCGAAAAGGTGGCTACAATGAGCTGTGTGACGTCTGGGCCCTGGGCATCACCGCCATTGAGCTGGGCGAGCTGCAGCCCCCTCTATTCCACCTGCACCCCATGAGGTCAGCCCCACACTTATCCTTTGCTTGACCCTTGCCCTACTGACTTTTGACTCCTGACCTTGCGCCCTTCACAGGGCCTTGATGCTCATGTCTAAGAGCAGCTTTCAACCGCCCAAGCTGAGAGACAAGACCCGCTGGTGAGGGCCCCCATCTCCCTGCTTGGGCTCTCTTTCCAGCCAGATCCCTTGGGGGAGGAGGACTCCTCTTCTACTGACTCCCAGGGCATGGCCCTTTCAGACCCTCTGAATGAGGGGCCTGGCCCCACTTATGGGCTAAGGACCCACCGTGGACAGGAAAGCAGGGCGGGTGGCTGGTGCTGGAGGAGCTGCCATGTTGCAATATCAGTGTTGCTCAGACAGCTGCCCTTGGCCTGGGGCTGGCTCCTTCCTGGGCGGGCCCGGCAGTGACTTTGAATGGTGGCAAGGGAGGCTGACAAAATGCCCTGCACGGGGGCTAACCTCAGTCTGGGGTGGGGGGCTCTTGTGCCCACTAGGACCCAGAATTTTCACCACTTCCTCAAGTTGGCCTTGACCAAGAACCCCAAGAAGAGACCAACAGCAGAGAGGCTCCTGCAGGTGGGAGGCGTGGGGCAGGGCAAGAGGCTCAGTGCTCCAAAGCAGGGACCTGGAGAAAAGGGGCCAATCTGACCGTCCCCCTCCACCCTCCAGCACCCATTCACAACCCAGCCGCTCCCTCGGGCCCTCCTCACACAGCTGTTGGACAAGGCCAATGACCCCCACCTGGGAACCCCCTCCCCTGAAGACTGTGAGCTGGAGGTAAGTGGAGGGTGAATGCGAAAGCGGTCTTGACCTGGCCTGGTTGAAAGGAGCCCCCAGGTGATATAGGTCAAGGTCCCTTTAACTTGTATATCCTTAGCACAGGGAGCTTCTCTCCATTGAGTCCACCATTAGTGATCCTTCCTGCTTTGCCTCCCTGTAGCACCCACTTGATAGTTCTTGCCTTTGGACCCAGGTTGACTGTAACCATGACTAAGGCATCTTCTTGCATCCGTGTAGTTTTTGGCACGTTGCTTGACCTCTCTGTGTCAGTTTTTTTATCTGTGGAATGAGGGTGCCATTTTTATCTCAATAATGGCTGTGGGTTGGAATGTATGCAAAGCACTTACAATGATTCCTGGTACAAGGTGCCTCCTGGGTATGCGTCCACTGTTTTTCTTTTGTCTTAGACTTATGACATGTTTCCAGACACCATTCACTCCCGAGGTCAGCATGGTCCGGCCGAGAGGACTCCCTCAGAGATCCAGTGTGAGTCTGCAGGAAGGGCTAAGCTGTGTGGAGTTGGTGTGAGTGGGGGCATCAGTTGGAGACTCTGCCTTCTAACCTCTGCACTCTGGGCCCCCAGTTCACCAGGTGAAGTTTGGCGCTCTGCGCAGAAAGGAAACGGATCCACTGAATGAGCCGGTGAGGGGCCGCAGTGTGGGAAGGCTGTGTGGAGGGAGCTTGCATGGAGGCTGGGAACCTCAAATTAATAGGGGGCTTTGGGGACCAGCAGATGGTGTAATGATTATGTTGCTGGACTCCCACATAGTCGACTGCAGTTTGAGTCCTGGATCTAGCGGCTTAAATCTCACACCAGGTTGGGACCAGCAGATGACATAATGTTTACATTGCTGGACTCCCATGTAGATGACTGTGCTTCAAGCCCCAGACCCAGCGCCTGACTTAAATTCACGCCTGGCATGTGTGCGTGTGTGCCTAAGATCCTGAGAGGAGAATGGAGAAGGGGTTTTTCGGCGTGGCCATCTCCCTGGGAGGCGATTTCTCGCTTTCTGTTTCTCTTTCTCTGTCTCAGGCAAGTGCACATGCCCTATAGCAAAATCTTTTTTTTTTTTTTTTAATGAGGGGGAGTGCTGTGGAGCAAGCACTGCCTGGGTCTTGGACCTCAGGCAGGTATCTATACAGGCCTGTCCCTTGAGAGCTAGGGACTCTGTCCTGGGCTTATCCTTTTAGACAGCCAACTAGAAGAAACCCACCTCTAGAAACTGGGCCTGTCACATGCCAGAACTGCCACCCTGTTCAACCACATCTCTGCCTCAGTCTCTGTTACCGGTTGTCGGCCTGGCCATCTCTGCTCTCTTAGTCTCTGTCTCTTGCAGCATCTCTCTTTGCTCCCATGATCCCATCTCTCTCCACATCTCTCTGTCTCTTTCTCTCTTGCTATTTGCTTTTCTCTCTTTCATAATCTCTTGGTCTCTTTGCCTCTCACTCCCTTCCAAGTTTCTTGCCTCTGTCCACTTACCTGTCTTCTCTTTCTTCCACAGTCCCTTTTATTCTGTTTTATCTTTTGCTTTAGGGTATGTGCGCTCGCCAAGAGAGACACAGAGAGGGTCGGTGAGAAATCATTCTCCAAGGGGCATGGCTATGCCACAGTCCCTTCTCCAGTCTCCCTTCAGGATTCTGGCCATGCATGCACTCTGAGTTTGTGTGTGTGTGTGTGTTTAAGGATTATTTTATTTACCATCATTATTATTTTAATTTGGCCAGAGAGAGACAAAAAGAGAGAGAGAGGGAAAGTGAGAATGCAAGCCACCAGGTTCGGGACTTGAACCACAGTCGGCCATGTGGGAGTCCAGTACCACAACCACCATGCCACCTACCAGCCCCCTTGCATTTTTAAAAAATTATTTTATTTAACTTATTTATTTACTTATTTTAATTTTACCAGAGAGGGACAGAGAGAAAAGAGACAGAGAGAGAGAAAAAGTGAGAAACCAAGCCGCCAGATCTGGGACATGAACCATGGTCAGCCATGTGGGAGTCCAGTGCTCTTAACCACCACACCTCCTGCCAAGCCTCCCCATCCTCGCCCTACCCTCCATGTGCTTTTTTTTAGAGATTTTCACTATAGGGTGCGTGCACTCACCAGACAGACAGAGACAGACAGAGAGACAGAAAGCGAGAAATCACCCCCCAGAGGGGATGGTCATGCCGCAATCCCTTCTCCTCCATTCTCCTCTCGGGATCTTGGGCACACACGCACACGTGCCCGGCGTGAGTTTTAAGCCACCGGGTCCGGAACGCGAACTGCAGTCGACTACATGGGAGTCCAGCGGCATAGCCATTATGCTAACTGCTGGTTCCCGCTCCATGTGGTTTTTAAGTCATCGGTCCAGAACTTGAACCACGAAGCTGGCCATGTGGAATCTAGCACCTTAACCTCCATAGCACCTGTTGACCCTCCTTTTGTTCTTTTTATTTCTTCTATGAGTAAGAAAGACAGAAATAATACCACAACAGGGTCTTGATGCTACAACCTGTCAGCCTCAGTCAGCCCTGTGCACAGGGTCATGTGTGCCTGGCGTGTTCAGGAGGTCTCTGGAGAGATAAACCCAGAACCTTCCACATCG